AAGCTGATAATGTAAAGTTGAAGCAAGCTTTAGAAAAGTATGAAGTGAGATTCATAAATCTGGAACAGAGAGATAAAGAAAAGATCAACCTTATTGCTAAACTAGATGATGACATCAAGGAAATCAAACAATCGAAAGCTAATACCAGTTCTATCGAGAATTCTGAAAACGCTCCTGAACAATGTCAACCTATTCGCACAGAGACCAAGTCATTGGAAAATAAGGTGATCGATAAATTTCTGGATCGAGTACATAAAGAAACTGTTAGCAGTGAAATAAGAGAGAGAAATCGGGAAAGAAAGCTTAAACGCAAATCAGTTATCCAGGATGACTCTTCTGACTTACCACATAACAAAGAAACCGTTAACACTGTTAACGATCAAGATCCGAAATTATCACATGATACGGAAACCGTATTCGATTTATCAAACTCGCGATAACAATACGGGGCGTCATAACCTAAGTCAGTTATTCTATTGTAGTGGAAATCACCCACGAACACCAAACCGGTATACAAATATTGTTATCAAATTTGGGTTATACGTAATAGAAAACACGTCACTCGAATGACGGTACGTCATACCTACTTAATGTTTGTAAAGAGTACTGTATATACAAGCTATGTGTTATAAAATATATCACAATACCTTAGTCTGTGTCATAAAATTTGGAATAACATAATTATGTTATCCCCACTATCTGTTAAGCAACTTAAATTTTACTATATTATACTATATCTGGTTTTCTTTATTATTTATTAATTATTATACTAGAATCTTTAATATATTTTTATTTATAATCTTGCACATGGATATTTTATAAACACTTCTTCAAGTCAATAGATTTTATCAATAAGTAAAATGAAATTTTTAACTCTTTTTGAACAAAACTCATATTCAATTAACTCTTTATATATATTAAACTATACAAATATCATCTGTTCATATGTCTAATAACTAGTGTCTTAGATACTATGTAATTAAAAAGTCTTATGGATTTCATTTTATTTATAAAGAAGCCTATTCAATAATTACAAATAAACAATCTTTAATATTTAAACCTTTTTACTATAGCTTTAACAAAAATAACATCACTTAGAATAAGCAATTACAACACTTCATATACACAAATCATGAGAGTATTCTAATTAATATTTATCTGCTATTGTAAATATCCTTTTAACTTATAAAAAACTATAAAAAACAATGCCAAAATCTTTAACAAAAGCCTCAAATCTTCTAAAAATTTCAAATGACTGTTCTGTTTTTGCAACAACCTCACCATCATCAGAAATTAAATGGAAAAACAATCCCAATTAGGCAACAAATTTTCAAGCCCATAAAATAAACATACTACTTTAACAAAAAACAGAATCCTTAACTTTTTAGCTGCAAATAATAACTCCAAACATATATTTACACTCACAACAATAATATTGTTTAAATCGAGTATTAGCCGTTCATAATTATACAAGACAACCGGACTCATATAGCATTAAATCTTTTCTGATTAATCGTAATAGGCTATGATTAATTTGTCCTGTATAAAGTTTATTAATGTAATGATTAAAATACTTGATTTAATAAAGGCCCGATTTTTTTTTACGAAAATAATAATAATAAAATAAAACTAAATTCGTTTTTTTTTGTCCTGCTTAAATTTTAATCATAAATCCTATAGAGTATTTATGAAAAATTTTTCTTAAAAAACAAGAGCATATAAACTATTAACAGGTAATGTCAATAAATCTTGATTGTTAATCCGCTCATTTCTTAACCTCTCACTAAATAAATAATACATTTTTTTGATTTATTTCCTAATATTAAACACAAATATAATAAAGAACAGTCTAAGCTAATTCCATAATATTAAACGATGGAAAATTTTGAGGTTATGAATGAATTTCAAGTGAAGTTATAATATTAATAACTAGAACAAAAAAAAAAAAAAGTTAAAATCTAATTGACAAGGTCGATGCAGATGCTGACTCTTTGTAACTATTTTTTTAATCCTAGTGTTTAAAGAGTGTAAGTAGACAGCGATTTGCCCCAAATTCACTAAATATGATGAGAAGCGAATCAAGGTTGATGATGAAGGAAGGAACATGCTCGGATGATATCAGACATCGACATGACCAACCTCCATTATAAAACATGAGAGCGGTGAGGTAGAATGTAATAATTTGCTCTATTGAGCACTTGTTTTGATAACAAAAAAAAAAAAAAAAAGATATTGAGAAACTTGCCAACGATCTAAAATCCGAGCCACAGTTTATGGAATGTCGATCGCTTCTTTGTTAAATACGTACAGTATGTAACCCTGATCAGTTTGGAGTAAAGGAAGTAAAGGTTATTCAACTTTTCTTGAACTTTTACCTCACCATGTCCTCAACCCGAACTCCAAGACAGCTAATAAATGTTGTTAATAGTGGCATCAGGCTTTTTGACTTGCTTCCTAGCCTTGGACTCTATCGCCTCTTATTCGACCTATTATGCACCATAACAAAAATGGGCGTATCAAGTTTTCTTTCATATCAAATAAGAGTAAAATTATTAATAATTCTTGGCAATGAGAATAATATTTCAGCATAAAATTCTTTCTCTTGCTTAGAGAGTTTCTGTATGACTTATCATTATTGAACAATGTTGTTTGGGCTTCGATAAAAGAATGTGTGATAAGGACCTACAGTGCAAGATAATTAGAATTGACTTTCACAATAACCCAGCAAAGTGGAAATTTTAAGCATACAATATCTGTTGTGCATGGCTTTCCATAAAGAGACCTTCCCCTTTTGACAATTCCAATGATTTCTTCTTGAATATATGCCACTTTCCAGAGATATCCATGTCCTTTACGAACCATCTGGATTCTTCTCGAGGTTCCTCTGTCTTGATAGCCTCTTAACCATTTTTTGTCATTATAATAAGCCCTTGATCTCTTTCCTAATAAGTAAGGCCCGATAACTATGACCGAGTCGTTCTAGAATAAATTTGACGTTTGAATTAAATAGGTTGGCTTTTACCTAATAATGTTAATAATGTAAATAATACTAGTTCCCTAGTAATATAACATATTCCTTAATGTTTCCAACACCTTTGGTTCCTTGTGCCATTACACGGGCTACCTTCATCTATAATTCAAAGCAATAAGAAAAACAAACATATAATAATATTAGATCCACTTATTTTTTTTCTTTGACATATTCAGCGTCTAGAGAATCGCGTTCTATTTCATTATAGGCATCCCCAAATAGACCACAACCCTTAAGGGCTCTTCCTATTGTCTGCCAACGGTCTACCAGTCAGTGATAATTAAAATAAGATATTTGACCCCCAAAAACGTTGAACAAATGACGAACTGTTTAGTCGATCCATCGCCTGCAAAGGCTTCTTTGCTTTTATGACACTGGCAATAATATGCTCTTCTGGTGCAGTTTCCTTGAATGTTGGTCAAGAGAGTGATTTCATGACATGTCATATGTGCGGAATTTTTACTTTGAAGAGACGAAGGTAATTTCGAATACAGCATGCTATGATAAACTCTTGATACTGTAATAATCATACAATTAAATTTACGTATTAAATCATGTGATATAAAGTTCCCATTCACACTACGTTACAAACCACCTTATACTCCACCCTCACGTTCAAATACAGAGCGTTTTACACCTCTAAACCATCTTTCTTATATTCCAAAAAATTTAAGCCAATTACACGTAAGAATCTTTTAAAGCCCGTAAGCATGAAATGAATTTATTCTTTCTTGCGAAGTTTATAATCTCGTTCTTCCTGATAATTGCTTTTTTCACGTTTTAAATATCTGCTTGTGCTTGTAATAATATCAATTTATAATAACAAGTTTTTCATTTTTTAGTAATTATTTTTATTTCCGCTCTTCGATCTTCCAACGTACAAGACTAACAAATGGATCGCTTTACATACACTATTAGTTTCCCTAACGATGTCTAGCAATTTTATAAATTAAACTCCGAGAAAACAATTAATACTGCCGAATATTTATGCAGTATATCCGAATAGTAAGAATCCAAAAATTTATTCAAGTTTATTTTTTGCATTTATTCAAAAATATTAAAATTATTCTTATACTTGATTCATCGGGTCTTATTCGGGGAAATAAATTAATATCGATTGCCACAGGCGAACCCATTCCTTGCTTTTTTTTCTAGCAGATCTCAGAATTCACTGGAATGGAGCATTCGGCATTTACTATTCACAAAAATCTAAAGTTTATCATAACAGCATTTTATATACGTAATCGGGAAATTTTACTTCATACTTATTGCTCAAATTGGATATCGGATAACTTAAACGTAATGATTGAAGATTTGGCTATTATATTGTCCGCCAGAGGTGTAAATGGGGTTCCTGAAAATTGATTAAAATATCCAAATTCGATTAGCCCAAAATAGACCAATTTCAAATTATTATTATCCCCTCGCTCGGATTTGTATAAAGTATTAAAAAAAAATCCATGAAAAAATAATAATGAACATGTGTGCGCTGCCCATTCCTAGAAGAATGCACTGTAGCCAATACTTTCGTATTCCAATATCATATGTTACAGAGAGCAGCCGTGTCCTAAGCCACCAACACTACACGTTGCGGGGAGAACAACCTCACACCTTGCGGAGTACGCAGCTGTGTCTAGCTCAATTGCATGTTGTGGTGAGTACACAGCCATGCACACCGTTGCAGGAGGCATACAACACTTTTGCAGACGAAAATCGGCAGCAGAGGAAGTGCGTCATAATAGGTGCTAGCATTAAAGTGAGATGTAGAGGGTGAAAGATTTGATGAGCCGGAAAGTAAGGTTTTTGCCTCATTATTACAATTTCATGCATAATACGTAGTTCTAAAAATAAATTGGCCATATATAGTAAATACTCTTAATTAAATTATGACCATTTCTACAGTTATATTATTGTTAAATTCAAATTCTGTTTATTATACGTATTAAACAGTAGTGTTCAATTCTTATATTTATTTAAAGATATCTGTAATAGATTAAATGTTACACTTTTAAGAACGATTTTAATATGCCGTTATTGATATTAATAATTCATATTTGAATATATGAATCCTCAAGTTTTTTTAAAAAATTAATTTATGTTTATAGATAAATTTCTAAAGCAAAATTGTTTTGTCTAATATCATCTAATACTTTATTGCCGATTTACTTATATTATTTTTGCCTATGCATAATTTTGTCACGGTGGTATTCTTGCATAGTGCCTCTGCCAGTGCTTCTGCCGATTCTCCTATTTTATTTGCTCTAATGTCCAATTCGGTCAGGGTGTTATTCTTCCATAGTGCCTCTGCCAGTGCTTTTCCTGCAGATTCCCCTATCTCATTAAAACCAACCTTTAGTCAGTTAAGGTGTTATTCTTGCATAGTGCCTCTGCCAGTGCTTTTCCTGCCGATTCTCCTATTTTATTCGAGCTAATGTCCAATTCGGTCAGGGTGTTATTCTTGTATAGTGCCTCTGCAAGTGCTTTTCCTGCTGATTCTCCTATCCCATTAAGACCAACATTTAGTACAGTTAGGGTGTTATTCTTGCATAGTGTCTCTGCCAGTTTTTTTCCTGCCGATTCTCCTATATTATTATCATACAGATTCAAATTAGTCAGGGTGTTATTATTGCATAGTGCCTCTGCCAGTGCTTTTCCTGCCAATTCTCCTATATTATTATTATACATATTCAAATTAGTCAGGGTGTTATTCTTGCATAGTGCCTCTGCCAG